GTGAATGCATATGGTTGCATCACACAACACTTGCTACACGTAACTGAGGTGCACAGTTCTACGATATCGAGCTCGACAAATACTTATGGCTCGCAAACTGCTGCGAGCTCGACAAGTGTGGTGTATGTTACAACTGTGCAGTTTCAATATCCTGTTGTACAAACATTGTTCAAACTAGAGACCAACCATATTAGAGCCCGATTGCGTCTAATATCTCATTTCAGCAGCCATCAATAAGAGGCACAAATAGTCTTAAATATAGGCGATACCCGACCGCAGGCACAAAAATTCAACGCATGGTGCGGTTATCTCTGTTATTTCCAATATTTTCACAAAGTCATCAATAACTTGTTCAGATAAAACTCATTCCAGTGATAAATTTGGACAATATTTATGTATAATATTTACTTTCATTAATTCTGTAGCCATACCTATACATATTTATACCCCAAATATTGTACTATTCACTTCCACCTTCACAACAATCTCATGGACAGTAAAATGCCTTTCACTCTTTCTTATCATATGGAGCTAAAATTCTATCCTTTCCCCACAATATTTATTTATTTACAAATATAATCGTACATGGTGCTACTATTGTTGTTGTCGTTGTCGTTGATGTTGTCGTTGCTTTTGTCATTGCTGTTGTTGTTGCTGTTGTTGCTACAGTAGCTGATGTTGCTGCTGCTGGTGTTGCTCCTGTTGTTGCTCAAGATGCTATTGTTGATGCTGCTGCTGCTTCTGCTGTTGCTGTTGTTGCTGTTGCTGCTGTTGCTGATGTTGCTGCTGCTGCTGCTCTTGTTGTTGTTGTTGTTGTTGTTGTTGTTGTTGTTGTTGTTGTTGTTGTTGTTGTTGTTGTTGTTGTTGTTGTTGTTGTTGTTGTTGTTGTTGTTGTTGTTGTTGCTGGTGCTGGTGCTGGTGCTGCTGTTGCTGCTGCTGGTGGTGGTGGTGGTGCTGCTGCTGCTGCTGCTGCTGCTGCTGCTACTGCTGCTGCTGCTGCTGCTGGTGCTTGTTCTGGTGCTGCTGGTGGTGATGCTCCTGCTGCTGCTACTGCTGCTGCTGCTGCTACTGCTGTTGCTGTTTTTGTTGTTTTGCTGATGTTGTTGTTGTTGTACTTGTTGTTGTTGTCGTTGTCGTCCTTGTTGGTCTTGTTGTTGATGTCGTCGTCGTCGTCGTCGTTGTTGTTCTTGTTGTTGTTGTTGGTGGTGGTGGTGATGGCGATGTTGCTGTTGTTTTCGTGTCTATTGTTATTTTTGTTTTTGTTATTGTTGTGAAGATTGGTTTTGTTGCTGTTGTTCTCTCTGTTATAGTTCCCTTGTGAACATTTCGATCGTACAAGGGGGTCCACGTAATCACCCCTCGTGTGGTAAAAATTTGGTTCTCCTACCTCCCATGGACCTGCTCAATAAAACAACACAAACCATAATGTTGCTTTTAAAAGGTTACAAGGAGTTTCTATTCCAAGCTAGAATGTTAACAAGATGGCATAACAAAGATTTCGTTAAATGAAATGTACAAGGCGATAAACTGCAACGGTTTCATACAATCAAATTCAGCTCCTCTCTGCGATATCGAATCCCAAATTCCTGGGAACGTGCAGCTCATAATTGGTTCGCAAAAAACCCAAGGCATTCCCAAGCCTCCGCCAAACCGAAGACTCACCGCCCAAGCCTCGAAAACAGTGGCTACACGCGATCGATTGCCCCAAAAACTTTGGAAGTAGCCAACCATTGGCCAACTCCACAGGTTTGCGAGGCGATGGCGACTGGTTTCCCCCCTCTAGTTGCCAGCGACTGGTTTTCTACACGAAATCGACACAAGCAAGTTTTGCGATGCTGTTCCGTCGAGCCACGCGAGTACGCCGTCCGCGTCCATCCAACCGTTGGGATGTGCGGCGACCACGACATCTGCACATCCGCACAACACGTACGTTAAGATTGGCATTAGTAACAAAAAAACAACACATGCAAATCATACCGTGACTGCACAAGCTGCTCAGCTTACCGGAGGGGGAATTCCCCTTTGGAACAGTCTTGCGCTTAAAGAACACCCAAGGTTTGAGCTTCTCGCCACTGGCGATGCAGGCGAGCATCACCGTCACGCGTTCCTTTTGATAGCCGCCGCTGCGGATGGGCACGGAGCGGACCCCCCGCCTCCTCGACCGTGCGTTCAGCTGGCATTTCGAGCCAGAGCGGGGTTCGATCCGCATTAATGATCCAGTGGTTGTCGATGGCGTACTGTCGGCGGGTGTGTCGCACGAACTTCCAGAAGTTCCGCACCTGCGTCTCGCACTCTGGAAGGGACGGGGAGACAGAAACGATAAAAAACATTAGCAAATCGAACATGGGCAAAAGGGATAGATGAGAGCGACGACAAGAACACCAACTGATCGGAGGATAGCTTCTGGCCGACTCGGATCTTCGCTCGGGTAGTGAGATTCCAGCGGCGCCGAAAATGTTCGGTCCACCTCTGAGATCCCGCCCACTTTACCTCAGGATGCAGGCTCTTCATCACCTTCGTGACCACTACTGTAGGCGCCCGACCGACACTGCGAGGCACTTCTTCCGGGCGGCAAGAACACGTGAGTAGACCTGGATCTCCATGTCGCGATACCACGACGACCGACCACGCCCGTGAAGGCGCTTGCGAGCCCCATGCGCGCCCTCCAGCTCAGCCTTCCGCGATTTCCACTCTGCCAGGGACTCTCGGGAGATACCAGTGTCGCACGCCATTTTCCGCACAATCACAGCACCGGACTCCAGCAGTGAAATCAAGTGCAGCTTCTCTTGAGAAGTATAGGAGTGGCGTTTGTGCCTTGAGCGCCTGCTCCTGGGAGACGCGGGGCGGGCATCACGATTCTGGGTGGAGGGGTGGGGTATTTTTTTATCGGGCGGGGGAAAACTTGGGACAGGCAAGTCCTCGGGAAGACCGTCGGCCGCCCACCACTCAACGTCGTCTTCGGCACCAGTGGCAGATTCGTCGTGCGGGCAGTCTTCTGGGTCTCCCCAGCGTGGCGAAAGACCGGGGCCGGTTTCATCTTCGTCGCTGCGCTCGGGGTCGGGCTCGGGCTCGGGCTCGGAGATGTACGCGTCGAAAGCAGAGTAGCCGCGAGGGAGAAGCTGCAGAATGGGCACACCGTTGATGACGACGTTAGGAGGAGCGGGAGGAGTAGGAGGCGCTGGAGGAGCAGGAGGCGCAGGAGGAGCAGGAGGCGCAGGAGGAGCAGGAGGTATGGGAACTAGGCGACTCTGCCACTGAGAGTAATCGGGAGTTTTGGCAGCAGCACCTCGGCAGTTAAAGGGAAAATGGGTGCCTCGAAGGCCCGCCATGGCAGAGGCAGGCCGAGAGAAAACAAGAAAACTGGAAAAAAGGGCGAGAACGAAGCCTGTTTGAAACCCTCGCCCGAGACCCCTCCAACTTCGCGGCCCGAGTTCCTCTGCAGGGAAATGGGGGAACTGTCAAGATATCCCCGTAGAGGAGCTGATGTGGTGGGGTCGAAGCCTCGGTGGCAAGGAATCTTGCCGCATATGAACCTTTCGTGGTTGTACAGCGCCGTGGTTGGCATGGCATTCAACCCTGATTGGGCAGTCGCACACTAAACACCGTGTGCGCTAGCATGCGCGAGATAGGGTACGATGAATCTGGCCAGGCCAACAAGGCGTGGCGGCCGTGATGACACGCCTTGTTGGCCATTTGACGCGTTTTTCATGCACGGGTAGGAACGTTCTGGATGGGGATTGAATCCCCTTTTAGAAGAGCTTCAATTACATGTAAAACATATTTCACATTTGCCATTTTATAGACGCCGGCGCTTGTAAAAATCCTCAATTATAAGCGCACCCCCTAAAAAAACAGTGTTTTATTACAACCCCAGGGGCGCTTCTATCCGGGGGCTGACGGTAGTATCTCAGAACTCGGATGTCACAGTGAGAACATTTAGATGTTGGTGCAAGGCAAGCAAGATCAGAGAGCATGCTACAAGCCCCTACACAGTACCATCGCCCCTGCCACAAGCTTCATTGCCAGCTTCACGGGTGCAGCCCATCCAGACCATGCACTCCATCTTCCCTAGCTCCACCTTCACAGGTGCAGGACCTATTCTAAAGGCACCTTGCTGACACCTTAGTTGGTCATTTACGTTTACGTTTACGTACGTACGTGTACGGGTACGTACGTTTACGCGGCTGTTAAGTTGGAGGCCTAACGTACGGGCAGGTGAAAAAAATCTGTGCTGCCCGAATATGTATATTTTCTCTATACTTCTCCCTCATAATCATGATTTCCATCATATAGTGTAAACATTCCATCATGTAGTGTAAATTTAGATTCGACTCGGCGAATTGGTTTGACTCGAAGTTGGGATTTGCCGGAACCAGTGAAGCTCGGCGGTGACGAAACTGCCGAGCGGGCGACATTCGCTTACCTTGCAAACGAAGCAATCGCGATCTGAGTCAAACTGTTCGCAATGTTCTATCGCGAACAGTTTGCACACATTCAGATCTACTCCCACCACAATTTCCTCCCTTCCTCTCTCGACGGACTTAGCTTAAGTAGTTTCTACCGCCTTAGTCGACATAGTACGTAGGGTAGTCGCCACACCATAGCAACCCTAGCTAGCAACATTCCTGTTTCGTACATTACTACTTTGAAAAGCGTCGCGCCGTTTGCTAACACGCAAACAGAGCACAGGTCGTCGAAAGCTTTTTTATTCTTTAGTTTTTCGAAAACCGTTTTCAAAGAAATTTATCGCGGATTTTTTTTTCTGACCTGCCCGGCGTACGTACACGTATGTATGCGTACGTACACGTACGTATGCGTACGTACACGTAAACGTACATGTACGCGTACGTTACGTGTACGTGGGTTGAAATGGCGTAAATGACCAACTTAGGCTGACACGGGCCAGCACTGAGACATTGCAAGCAACCTCTGAGGACTGCAGTGACTTCAACCGAGTCACGGCCTCTGAGAGGGTCTCCACGTGCAGAAGACCAGCCGAGTCAAGGCTGTTCAGCTAGCTGCACGAGATTCGCAGGGAGGGAGCGGATGGGGGTGTGCCACAGTATGAGGTGGTGCAGCTGGGTGAGGCATTCAGGGAGGTGCTGCAAGGTGTCGCAGTCAACCAGCTCCAATTTTCGCAGCCGAGCCAAGCAGCTCATGCCCTGAGGTAGCGCCACCAGCCGAGGTGCACGAAGCTTAAGCGACGTCAGCTTTCTGATCCCGACTATGCTGCCTGGCAGCTCCTCCTGTGACCATGACAGAAGCTGCAGCTGTCGCAGCTGCGACAACGCTGCCCCCATGTTTTCCGGGAGACTGCATACACCTGGTGCATCTATGAGCAAGCTGCGCAGGCGAGGGAGAAAGGTGAGGGGGACTGGAAGCTGCTGATTGCCGCTTTCCACATGCATCTCCAGCTGCTCCAGCTGCTGCAGACACAAAACTCTGCTGCTCACTGCAGGCCCGCATTGCACCCCAATGCGGTTGAGCTTCAGCACCCTCAGCTGCGTCAAGTGCGAGATGTCCACCACATGAAAAGAGCCTTCCTTGAAGGGCCCCAAGCTGAGGCTCTCAAGAGAGGGGGGCAAACCAGCACAGGGTTCACTCAGCTGCGGACATGCCAACATTTCGAGCCTCTTGAGCTTCACGAGCGTATCCAGCCTTGAGGGTACTTCTGAGAGCCAGCTGCACCCTCTGACCTCCAATGCCTCAAGTCTTGTAAGCCATGTCAGCGAGCTAGGAAGCGTGCTGATTGAAAGATCAACAAACTTCAGCTCCAGTAGGCTGCTCAGCTCTCCCAAAGCTTCCGGAAGATGGATACCACCGCATCGATTCAGCTCAAGGCTCGTCAAGGAAGATAACTCGGTGAAGGAAGCCGGAAGGGGCAGGTCCTGGAAGTCATGCAACTTGAGAGCCTCAAGATGTCCAAGAGCCCCAACGTCCTCGGGCAAGACGAGATGCTGCAATCTTGAGAAGGAGAGCGCCTTGAGAGCTGTGAGGCGGCAGAACCCTGCTGGCAGCTGGAGACAACCAACAAGAAAAAGTGTCCCAAGCGATGTGAGACGACAGAAGGAAGGAGGGAGTTCGGTGAAACTCAAACTCTCCAGCACCAGCAGTTTGAGGCCAGGCAGGTGACCAAAGTTGCTAGGTAAAATAAATCTCCTGAAATGGTTATAAAGGATAAGGCTTTCCAAACGACTCAGAGAAGTGACACTTTCAGGCAGGTGATTGAAACCGTAGCAATCGTAAATGGTCAGCTTGCTAAGGCACGGCAGAACGTCTCCAATGTGGTGTGGAAGGCTCTCCGGCCCATTGCAGAAGCTGATCAGCAGCTCCTCTAGCCCAGTAAATGGCGATGTTAACGAGAAGATGCTGTCCAATACAGGACACAGATTGAAAAAGCTGAATGACTTCAGGCAAGCCCGCAGTGTCACGCTTGCAGCATCAGCCAACAGATCAGTCTGGAGAGGGGCGGAGGTGGACAGGTGAGCGAGTCGTGGGAGGTGAAGCAGGATGGAGAGGCGCAGATGGTTCATGGGGCAGCCAACGTAAAGGGTGGTCAGGGCAGTTAGGTTGGTGAATCCAGGTTTCTTCATGGCTGAAGTGTCGGTGAAAAGAAGGGTGTGCAGACACCGTAAACGGAAAAAGGAATTTGGTAGCTCCGATTTCAGGTGAAGGCAAAAGAGGATAAGCTGTTCCAACTCAGGAAGCTTTCGAAAGAACCATTCCAAGCCCTTGGTGGTTGCCCATAGCAGTCTTCTTCCTCAAGGTCCAGTAGTAGGTGAGTCACGGGTCAGTCTCAGGTCAGTCTTAGGTGAGTCTCAGGTCAGTCCTACGTGAGTCTCAGGTCAGTCTCAGGTCAGTCTCAGGTCGGTCTCACGTCAGTCTCAGGTCAGTCTCAAGTCAGTCTCAGGTCAGTCTCAGGCCAGTCTCAGATCAGTCTCAGATCAGTCTCAGATCAATCTCATGTCAGTCTCAGGTCATCCTCAGGTCAGTCTCTGATCAGTCTCAGATCAGTCTCAGGTCAGTCTCAGATCAGTCTCAGATCAGTCTCAGATCAGTCTCAGATCAGTCTCAGATCAGTCTCAGATCAATCTCAGGTCAGTCTCAGATCAGTCTCAGATCAGTCTCAGATCAGTCTCAGATCAGTCTCAGATCAATCTCAGGTCAGTCTCAGGTCAGTCTCAGATCAGTCTCAGATCAGTCTCAGATCAGTCTCAGGTCAGTCTCAGGTCATCCTCAGGTCAGTCTCAGATCAGTCTCAGATCAATCTCAGGTCAGTCTCAGATCAGTCTCATATCAGTCTCAGATCAGTCTCAGATCAGTCTCAGATCAGTCTCAGATCGGTCTCAGATCAGTCTCAGGTCAGTCTCAGGCTGACCTGCCCTGAGGCTGAGTGCCCTGCGCCCTCTCTCTCCCATCACTCAGTGGTCTCTCCCAGTGGCCCCCTTTTCTCCGATCACACTCCAGATGTGCATAGTGCAACCGTCGCTCTCCATCATTGTTCCCCCATCTCCCTCCCTATACACTTTTCAATCTCCACTCCCTTCCAGTTCCATCTCCTTCACCCTTCCCCCGTCCCCTTCCCCTTTTCCCATCCCCTCCCCCATCCCCGGTCCCTTCAACGTCCCCTTCCCCGTCACCATCCGCATTGACATCCCCCCTTCCCCCGGTCCATAGCGCAGCCAGCAGCGTCCATCACACTGGTCCAATCTGCCTATCCTGCACCCGCCTCCTGCTGTCTCCCTCTCCCTCTGGCCACGTGTCCCTCAAATCACCCACCAGATATGCATTCTTCAGCCAGTAGCATCGGCAAAGGTTGCTGTTAGATTGCTTTATCAGGTCACATATGCCGAACCTCCTTAGTTTCACGAGATGTGAGCTACAAACCAGAAGCATGGGAGATCCGTATGCTTGCGTCAACCCATTACACCATTGCCCTTGCATTGGCACCGACTCTCACTACCAGTAAACAAGTTCTGCAGGTTATTTCCCTCCCTGTCCTCACATATTCCCAACTCCCTTAGCTGCACGAGGCAAGATCTGCAAGCCAGGAGCCATGACTCACAATTCAGGGCAGTATGGGACAAGTCAGGGCAGTATGAGACAAGTCGGGGCATATGAGACCATTCGGGGCATATGAGACGAGTCGGGGCATATGAGACATTTCGGGGCATATGAGACGAGTCGGGGCATATGACACAATTCGGGGCACATGAGGCAATTCGGGGCATATGAGATGAGTCGGGGCATATGAGACGAGTCGGGGAAGTATGGTCAAAGCCAGCATGGTGTGTGAACAACTCTGGTTGGTAAGCATCGCTCCTTGCGTTCAATGCAGAAGGTTTAAGGTTGTTTGTTACCTTCCTCAGTCCAAGTTGCTCTGCAGTCAGGATAGTGTTCTTGCCCCCCAGCTAAAATCTGATCGCCACTTCTTCAACTCATTGGCCTTACCACCAGCAGCACCACCATCATCCATCGCCATCACTAGCAATCCATGTCTTACTAATGACTCTCCCTGCTTGACTGTGACTGTGACATTCTCGCTGTGCTAGCAGGTGCAATGGGCTGCCATTAGGGAAAGCTTCCCACTATATTTCGTGTCAACTGCCATACTGCAGTGTTGTGTGGCAACCAGAGTGAAGACCACATCATGGTGCAAGACCTAGGATGACGTGGAATGTGCACCAGCCCAGAGTTGACAGAATTGCCATCTTGTACCGATTAGCTATTCCATGCAAGTTGTGGATGCGTTGTTGCAGAAAACATACGGTATGATTCTGGAAGACTGGCGTATCAAGCCCATGTGGTTGTTTTGATTTATATTACCGGTACCTCGCATGATGCTGACGCGGTCCAGAATGGATGGATTTCACTTTCACAATTCAGAGCAAGGCATTCTTCAATCAAGAGCCCCACCCGTTTCAGAAGTCCTGTGCTTACGTACAGTCCAATTGCAAAACCATAGACAAATTCATTCAGCCTGCCATTTCCTCTTCAAAAGGTTTCCAGATGCATCTTCCACATCGGCTCACATTCACATCTAATCACATTTGATTAGAAGGGTCTAATGAAGCTACACAAGCACTGCGGGTCATGTAGGAGAGCGAGCATTCTCACACAGTCGGTGTCAGTAGAGATAATGGTTATAGTCATGAAGCAACAACTAATCCAACATTCTACGCATGCAACTCCTGACGTTGTTCGAATTCGTATAGGTGCAACCAGCACTTAGAAAAATAGTGGGACTGATTGGAAGGTACGATATGTTATGTTGATACAAAAGTGTCAGAAACAACTAGCAGGAATGAATGAACTAGGTCAAAGTTTGGTACAAGTATGAAATCCTAAAGGGGCTATACCCCATATTGGCTACCCCACTACAGCCTACACATATATAACACATATATAACACACCCCCATAGGCAAAGTGGGGGAGAGCAAGGGATCACAAGACCAGTCAAGAAAAGCAATGCAAGCTCAGGGTGGATCACAACGTCACCACACACATTAAGCAAAAGCAAAGGGCCACATGGCCAGTTCACATGCAGAGGTATACATATACCAACAACAGCATAGTGATTACTACCTAGCAAGAGCAAGCATGCAGCTATACATATATATAGGTCAGTACACGCAAAGTCTACAGCAAGTAAGGAAACGTAGGCACAAGGCCTAACAAAGTACAAAAGCACTGATGATTACCAGACGGACGTGCCTTGGTGAATATATTAGCAGTGTTGGCCCGAATGGCCACGTGAGCAAGACGAAACTGACCACGTTGCTGCAACTTTCGAGCAAGGAAGTAACGCAGAGCAATGTGCTTCGTTCTGTGCTCTAGTTTGTGCTTCTGACACAAGGCAATGGCGGCCTTGCTGTATACGTACAGAACTGGAGGAGAACGAGGCCGCTCTCCCAAGTCGGTCAGCAGGTAGGTGAGCCAGCGTAGCTCCTGTGCAGCCATGGCTGTGGCGTAGACCTCAGCCTCACAACTGGAGCTAAGTACAGAAGACGGGCGTGTAGACCGCCACGAAACAGAGCCAGAGCCAAGGCTGAATGTGTATCCCTCTGACGACCGCTGCGTACCTAGGTCGTCAACCCAAGAAGCGTCTGAGTGCCCAGTGAGGACAACTGGGCTCCGCCCTCCAAGCACGAGCCCCATGCCCGATGTATTGCACAAGTAGCGCATTACCCTCTGAGCAGCATCCATGTGCACCTTTCGGTGCCTACCAGGAGCCACGTAGCGAGCCAGAAGGCCAAGAGGGTATACAAGGTCAGGTCGATGAGAAAATGTGAACGAGAATGAAATGACTATGAACGAAGAGAGTACAAATAGGAAACCCTAATTGGGTTGTACCCCCTATGGGATACCCCACTATAGCCTACACAAATAAGTAAGCTATAATGTTCTGACACACCCCCATAGGCAAAGTGGGGGAGAACAAGGGGTCACAAGACCAGTCAAGCAAAGCAAAGCAAAGCTCAGGGTGGATCACAAAGTCACCACACATTCCGAGCACAAGTTCAAAGGCCATAAGGCCAGTTCACATGCAAGATCATATATAGAGATATACAAGAGTCAAGCAAGCAAGAGCAAGAGTATATATAGGTGCAGGTACAAGCAAGGTCAAGAAGTGAGCAAGTGAGGAAAGACAAGCACAAGACCCAGCTGCGTGCAACAGCGCTGATGATCACAAGGCGCAAGTGCCTTGGTGAAGACATCAGCAGTGTTGGCCTCAGAGGCCACGTACGCAAGTCGCAACTGTCCACGCTGCTGTAGCTCACGAGCAAGAAAGTAGCGGAGAGCAATGTGCTTTGTCCTGTGCTCCAGTCGCTGCTCTCGACACAAGGCCAGCATGGCCTTGTTGTCTACGTACAGGACAAGAGGAGAACGAGGCGGCTCTCCAAGGTCGGTCAGCAGGTAGGTGAGCCAGCGAAGCTCCTGGGCAGCCATAGCCCCGGCGTAGATCTCAGCCTCACAACTGGAGCCGAGGACAGAAGACGAGCGGGTAGCCCGCCACGAAACAGAGCCGGAACCAAGGCTGAAGGTGTAACCCTGTGACGACCGCTACGTAGCCTGGTCGTCAGCCCAAGAAGCGTCCGCGTGCCCAGTGAGGACCACTGGACTGCGCCCTCCAAGCACTAGCCCCATGCCCGACGTACTGCACAAGTAGCGCAACACCCTCTTCGCTGCAGCCATGTGCTCTGGTCGGTGTCTCCCAGGAGCAACATAGCGTGCAAGAATGCTAAGAGGGTATGCAAGGTCAGGTCGTGTGCAGGTCATCAGGTACATGAGGCAGCCAACAAGCTCTGCATACGGGCCACTCGACTCTACGGACTCATCCGAAGGCAGAGCTGAGAGCGAGTGGCGAGTAGGCAGAGGAGTGGCCTGAGGCGAGGAGTACGTGAAGCCGAAGCGCTGAAGGACCTGCTGCACCATGTGTGACTGAGTCAGGGTAATGGTGCGGCGTGCTCTGTCCCGGGTGATCTGCAAGCCAAGGTAGCTGCGTAGTTCACCCAGGTCAGTGCACGTGTGTCTCTTCTGCAGCTCGGACTTCACGTAGGCAAGTCCAGCAGTGTCAGCTGTGGCAAAGAC